CTTACTGGTCCTTGAAAAAATCTTCTTTAAAAAATCCACGCCTTGTCTTACTGGTCCTTGAAAAAATCTTCTTTAAAAAATCCACGCCTTGTCTTACTGGTCCTTGAAAAAATCTTCTTTAAAAAATCCACGCCTTGTCTTACTGGTCGTTGAAAAAATCTTCTTTAAAAAATCCACGCCTTGTCTTACAGGTCCTTGAAAAAATCTTCTTTAAAAAATCCACGCCTTGTCTTACAGGTCCTTGAAAAAATCTTCTTTAAAAAATCCACGCCTTGTCTTACTGGTCCTTGAAAAAATCTTCTTTAAAAAATCCACGCCTTGTCTTACTGGTCCTTGAAAAAATCTTCTTTAAAAAATCCACGCCTTGTCTTACTGGTCCTTGAAAAAATCTTCTTTAAAAAATCCACGCCTTGTCTTACTGGTCCTTGAAAAGATATTCTTTAAAAAATCCACGCCTTGTCTTACTGGTCCTTGAATAAATCTTCTTTAAAAAATCCACTCCTTGTCTTACTGGTCCTTGAAAAGATATTCTTTAAAAAATCCACGCCTTGTCTTACTGGTCCTTGAATAAATCTTCTTTAAAAAAAATCCTCGCCTTGTTATGGTCCTTGAATAAATCTTCTTTAAAAAATCCACGCCTTGTCTTACGGGTCCTTGAAAAAATATTCTGTAAAAAATCCACGCCTTGTATGGATAGTCCTTGAATAGATATTCTTTAAAAAATCCACGCCTTGTATGGATGGTCCTTGAAAACATATTCTTTAAAAAATCCATGCATTGTATGGATGGTCCTTGAAAAAATATTCTTAAAAAAATCCATGTTCTTTAAAAATCCATATTTTGTAAGTTCATTATTTTTACCAGAATATTAATTATAAAGCGCCTAGAAGTATGCTATAAAATATTTAAGGAATTCATTGTAATTGGTAAAACAAATATATGATATATTTTATCGCCCGATCCGTTTTTAATATATTTTTTAACAATAATTACCACATTGCAACACAGTGCATTTTATTGTTGCAACATGCATTCACACATCTATACATTTCTACTGATTACGGGTTTCCTAATGTTGCGTGCGACATTGACCAGTTTTTACAGTTCCAAATGGTTGGTTATAAAAAAACTAAAACCAACCAAATAGGCAGCCAGCCCGGTAGACCAGTCAACCAACCACCAGTCAGTCAATCATATGTTTCAATACATGAAATAAAAATAAAATAAAAAAGCGAAACGTAACAAAACGGTAACTATGCATTTTTGTAACCGGTTTACCGGTTTCAGTAAAAATTCATACACCGCGTTTTTTCCTTCTTGTCCATTTAATTTCAGTCTGGTTTTCATTGTCAAGGTGAATCTACGCGCAAATTGCATGTTGCCATTACTGGCTATAAAAATTGTAGTGAGCTGTGGTATTTTGTGGTTTGGTTGCTATTCCAACCAAGCAACGAACCAATCATTGAATCATACCACTCACTCTTGTCCAATTAACTGACATAAAGAGTCAAACATTACCGATGGATGATAATTTATATGGTTTGAATTTGTGATCGTGTGTCAGGGCTTTAATATTTATAATTTAGCAAACCGAAAGAAATAATGAAATAATTTATGTGTATCGAAATAAAAAATTTAATTTAAAATTTTATAGAAAAACCTTGGAATTTTCTCAAGGAAGTATTTAAAGCAGTGTTGATAAATTTTTAGACGATTTTAAATCAGCTGTGCATGAGTTTCTCAAGGAAGCTTTAAAATAGCAGGAAGGATTTTTTATCATAGACAATAACAATTGGAATGTGAAATTAAATATTCATTGGATATTTAAAAAAAAATATTAAAACATAAAATAAATATTTTTCAGGACCATCAAAGTGTGGATTTTTTAAAGAATATTTTTTCAAGGACTAGAACAAGGCGTATATTTTTTAAAGAATATTTTTTCAAGGACTAGAACAAGGCGTGGATTTTTTAAAGAATATTTTTGCAAGGACCAGTAAGACAAGGCGTGGATTTTTTAAAGAATATTTTTGCAAGGACCAGTAAGACAAGGCGTGGATTTTTTAAAGAATATTTTTGCAAGGACCAGTAAGACAAGGCGTGGATTTTTTAAAGAATATTTTTGCAAGGACCAGTAAGACAAGGCGTGGATTTTTTAAAGAATATTTTTGCAAGGACCAGTAAGACAAGGCGTGGATTTTTTAAAGAAGATTTTTGCAAGGACCAGTAAGACAAGGCGTGGATTTTTTAAAGAAGATTTTTTCAAGGACCAGTAAGACAAGGCGTGGATTTTTTAAAGAAGATTTTTTCAAGGACCAGTAAGACAAGGCGTGAATTTTTTAAAGAAGATTTTTTCAAGGACCAGTAAGACAAGGCGTGGATTTTTTAAAGAAGATTTTTTCAAGGACCAGTAAGACAAGGCGTGGATTTTTTAAAGAAGATTTTTTCAAGGACCAGTAAGACAAGGCGTGGATTTTTTAAAGAAGATTTTTTCAAGGACCAGTAAGACAAGGCGTGGATTTTTTAAAGAAGATTTTTTCAAGGACCAGTAAGACAAGGCGTGGATTTTTTAAAGAAGATTTTTTCAAGGACCAGTAAGACAAGGCGTGGATTTTTTAAAGAAGATTTTTTCAAGGACCAGTAAGACAAGGCGTGGATTTTTTAAAGAAGATTTTTTCAAGGACCAGTAAGACAAGGCGTGGATTTTTTAAAGAAGATTTTTTCAAGGACCAGTAAGACAAGGCGTGGATTTTTTAAAGAAGATTTTTTCAAGGACCAGTAAGACAAGGCGTGGATTTTTTAAAGAAGATTTTTTCAAGGACCAGTAAGACAAGGCGTGGATTTTTTAAAGAAGATTTTTTCAAGGACCAGTAAGACAAGGCGTGGATTTTTTAAAGAAGATTTTTTCAAGGACCAGTAAGACAAGGCGTGGATTTTTTAAAGAAGATTTTTTCAAGGACCAGTAAGACAAGGCGTGGATTTTTTAAAGAAGATTTTTTCAAGGACCAGTAAGACAAGGCGTGGATTTTTTAAAGAAGATTTTTTCAAGGACCAGTAAGACAAGGCGTGGATTTCTTAAAGAAGATTTTTTCAAGGACCCGTAAGACAAGGCGTGGATTATTTAAAGAATACTTTTTTCAAGAACCAGTAAGACAAGGCGTGGATTATTTAAAGAATACTTTTTTCAAGAACCAGTAAGACAAGGCGTGGATTTTTTAAAGAATACTTTTTTCAAGAACCAGTAAGACAAGGCGTGGATTTTTTAAAGAATACTTTTTTCAAGAACCAGTAAGACAAGGCGTGGATTTTTTAAAGAATACTTTTAAAGGCCCTGGATTTTTTAAATAACATTTTAAGGGCTCATACAAGGCCGTGATTTTTTAAAGAATATTTTTAAGGGTCCTTACAAGGCCTGGATTTTTTTAAAGAAAATTTTTAAGGGCCCTTACGAGGCCTGGATTTCTTAAAGAATATGTTTAAGGACCCTTACGAGGCCTGGATTTTTTAAATATGTTTAAGGACCCTTACAAGGCCTGGATTTTTTAAAGAATACTTTTAAAGGCCCTGGATGTTTAAATAACATTTTTAAGGGCTCATACAAGGCCGTGATTTTTTAAAGAATATTTTTGAGGGTCCTTACAAGACCAGGATTTTTTAAAGAATATTTTTAAGGGCCTTTCAAGGCCGGGATTTTTAAAAGAATATTTTTAAGGGCCCTTACAAGGCCTGGATTTTTTTTAAAGAATATATAAAAGGTAGTTTACATTTAACGGGATTTGGTTAACCCAGTGGGTTTAAATTTTCAATTCCTTTGAATATATGCCAAATAAATCCTCATAAAGTAGGTTAGCCCGGTAAAAAGTTCTAATGTAAATGCCGTATAAAAGTCTCAATCGGTTTTACGTATCTACCTCATGGTGAAGGGTATATCTACCTCATTGCGAAGGGTATACACATTTCGGCTTGTCGGAATCTATCAACTCTTTTACTTGATTTTATTATTCCAAAAGTCTCAGATGACGTCTTGACTTAATTTATGTGCACGATTTATATTTAAACTTCTTTATCAATACAGCTGTATTGATACACCACCGATACACCATGCTGAACAAACTGTTTAAACATTTCAATTTAATCAACATCCAACAAACAGTCCAACAACAACTACAACATCACAATCTCATTCTCAAACAAGAATGGTAATGAAAAATTATCCCGCAACTGATAAAAAGACTGAATTGCATGGATCCATCAACGGACATTCGGTGTGAGTGTGTCATCTGTGTGGAGATGTCACATTTAACGACAGTGCGTAAGTGTTGTAGGTACATATGTAAATACATACATGTGTGTGTTTGTACTTGAAATGAAAAAAAGTGGACATCGGTGTACGAGAAATCCCAATTAAAAGAACAATGCTCCAAATATTGTACGTACTTGAAAGTATTTATGTTATATGTGTGTCCGAATGTATGTAGATCTTTATCTTCCTATATACATATGTGTGTATGTATGTAAATGATTTCATCTGCGTATTTATGTGTGTGTTCTCATTTCTTCACATTCTCATATCAGTTGGAAATTTTTTTATTATTTCTTTCGTTTGGAGATTTTTGCTTTGTTTTTTTCGGGGTATGATCACCCCAACCAACCATCCAATCCAACCAGCTGAGAACAAAACAAAAAAAATGAAAAGCAAACAACAACAACAAAAAGTATCACAACTTAGTAGAGCGATCGGATTGAATTGGATGAATAGATCAATGTGAGGAATGAAATAATTTTTGTTTTTCGGTCGGTTTTAATTTCTCGCCTTAGTTTCATCGTAAAAGTCGTTGCGGAAAGACGCGCTGGAAATTTGTGTAACCACCAGCCAGCCAACGAAAAAGTTCATTCACAGTTCTGATTTGAAATTCAAAGAAAAAAATAATAAGAAATATTAATTCTTCTTTGTTTTATTATAACAAACGTCATTGTTTTTATTTGGAATAGACACTGTCGTGTGGTGCGACACATTGACACAATGAAATCTTTTGTTTCATCGTTATCATTTCTTTGTGCAATTATTGTACTGACCAATGTGAGTTGGAAAAAAAATTATTGTGCAAAAATTCAAATAAAAAAACAACAAAGTGATTTTATATATAAAAATAAATATATAACCGTTAAAATATTAAAAATATAATTGGTTCACATGTGATTTATAAGTAATAATTCGACGCGAATTTGAGTGTAACGACTATGTTTTGTAGATCTTCTATAGAAGGAAAGTTCTCTACACAACTTTTATAGTTGGCAGAACTTATATGGATCTTCTCTTGTCTTTAAACCTTTGTGGTCCAATTTTGTCCACAGGCAACAAAATGTTTTAGAGCTTATATATATATATGTATATAGTTGTGATGGGTATAAAAACCGGTCGGAAAAATAATAAGAAATGTTTATAGAAAATAAATGTTTTTATTATAGGAAACCAGTGTCGATTTTTTTAATCTAACGATATTTAATACTTGTTTTACGGTTCCATTCTGAGATTCTTTAATTTTCTTACATTTTTTCCGCCACTGTATCATGGTCCCTGAAGGCCAAATTAGGCCATTTCGTAATGATGCAATTGGAAAATCCCTCTGCGACTATAAAAATACCTATAAATGGCTAGACCAATATATGGGGGCTATACCCAAAAAGTAACAGGATATCGGAAGACCATCAGTGGGACGTATGTAGGCAGTAGTATATATGATAATATTCTTTATATAGAAGATAACCTTTTGGTCTTCCATTAATTAAAAACCATAACTTTATTTTTAATAGAATGCAGATAATCTATGAGCCTTGAGTATGTGTGAGCATTCTATTGGGCCCTCTTAGAGATTAGAGGCAATTCATAAATTATTATTTGTGTATTGCATATAGAATACACTCTTAAATTAAACAAAAAATTTAACTTTTTTGAACGAAGAATGGGTCAGGTCCCCTAAAAATACGTTCTATAAATAAAAGAATTTCTGTTAATTAAAATCGAGTGCGGATTTTCTACAGATAAAATCATTTATTGTGAGACCGCCGTATTTTGACTTTTGTAGATAGAAATTGGACTACTTTGAACAGAGAAGCTTCTGTGAAATTTCTATTAACAGAAGCTCACATGTATGTTCTAGATTTTCGGATAACAGCAGATCATATTCGGTACTTTTGTAAACAGAACACAATATTTCAGTGGATCTTCTGCAGACAGGAAATGAACTGTGGTTTGTCGACACATGAAAAGGGAGAATTTTCCATGAATTGCAAACCAAACAATAGGATGAAGATAATCTATGAGTTTTGAATGTCTGTGGGCATTCTGCAGACTGTAGATCATACGTTGGGTCATCTTTGTATATAATACCATCTTCTGGAGATTATAATATGTGAAATTTCTATAGATAGAAGACTATCCTATTGCCTTAGTTTGCTACATATCAAATACCATATAAGGATTTTCTATATACAGTAGAACTTCGATAATTCGTACCTCGATAATTCGTAACAAACTGTCGGTCCCTTGGAAAAATTTCGATATTTCGTAAAATTTACACGCAGTTTGGTCCCCTCGAAAAACCTCGATATTCGTATTTTTTTATCGATATTCGTATTTCGTTAATTCGTAATCTCGATAATTCGTAATCTTCGATAATTCGTAAAATTTTGGTGGTCCCTTGAATTACGAATTATCGAAGTTCTACTGTACAGAAGGCCTTCGATTGGGCTTCTGTGGACTATCTATTGTTGAAAGATATTTCTGATGCACTTCGAACTTCGAAGACAAAGTAATATACTTTCAGTATACTCTATTTGGTACCTCTCCCATAAATCGGTCAACATTTTTAAGAACGAGGCACCAGCGAAATTTTCGTGGGTCAGCTAAGTACTTCGTTTTGTTACAAGAGACATTTGGGTATGAAAGGTTTTTTGTATAGAAACAATAGCTTCTGGGGAGAATATCCCAACAAAAAACTAAGGAAACTGATGAGGATCAGTGGCGTGATCCAAAACTATAGTCTCCCTGCCTTACTCCTCGGCAAACAATGCCATACATTCCCCACTAAAAACAACAAACTGGGATTCAGCCTGATTATTTTGCAAAAACAAAATACAAATGGTATCCCAAATAAACCGCCAACACTACTAACGAGTAAAAATTTCGTTATGCCCTTCACCATTAGTTGCGGATGCAAAATACATCAAATATGTTGGTACCGTATAATGGGCTAACAAATTAATAAAATATAATTGCTTAACAAAACAAGTAAAATATGATAAAGTTCGGCTGGAGTGATTTTTATACCCTCCACTAGGTGGTGAACATTAAAAATGTATTTAATCGGACGGAATCTTTGTCATTGTAAATTATCTTCTTGTTGACACACTGAGAAAATGAAATGAAATAGCAAGTTACAATTGTTCATATTGGAAAACTGAGCTAGCAAAAGTACCGAATGTTCACTTGGACCTTTGAATGAAAGCTAGTTAAAAACATGAATCTGTATTGAAAATGCTTTTGGGAATAAAGTTTTTATTCAACCGTAATCCTTAAGGGCAAACTACAATCTCTACCGACCATTGTCCGGGCAGAAATGTTTTTCGGTCTCCAAGAATTGGGGAGGTAAAATTACATTACATTGAGAAAATGCGGATTAAATGATGAAAATATGTAAAAAGGGCTGGAACTAAATCAAATACCAAAAATGTTTGTGAACGAAGAACTTCACCTGTTTCTTCTCATAACTTTTCAAGTGGTGAATGTTCCACTTAAGCGAAGTAGGACGATTAATTGTGAGTGATAAACCACAAATTTTTTAATTACTCGAAAGAAGTCTCATGGTTCCTATGAGAGCGCAATCTCTCAAATATAAGCATAAACCAGTCCAAAACGCGGAATTTATGGGTCACCTGCTGTACAGCCCAGATTTGGCAACCAATGACATCTTTTTATTCTCGCACATCAAGAATTTCGAAATAGTCTTTCGAGTCTTTGAACGCATAAAATTATAATACTTTGGAAAACAATAAAAGAATTATTTATCATGAATATTTAAATTCTTATTATTAGAACAGAAATATTAAAATAATTAAAAAAGTCCAATATTTTTTTTAATCCAGGCTTAAAAAATATTCTTTAAAAAATTCACACATGTAGTCCTTGAAAAATATTCTTCAAAATCCAGGTATATCTTCTATCAATCCAATCCCTCTGATATGCTTTCTTTAATAACTCCATTCTTCGTATAGTCTTTGAAAAAGTATTCATTAAAAACCCACGATAGGTGTAGTCATAAAAATATTCCTTGAAAAAAATTCTTTAAATAATTCAAGCTTCTTAAAAATAGTTTTAAAAATGCACTATGAAATCTTGTTTTTAAAAATATTAGCATATGACTTTGTTATATACAGAGAAAAATCTTGACTAACTGAATTAAAATTAATTAACCCCTTCCAATTCCATTCATTTCATTACAGGCCGAATTGGAATTCGATAAATTAAAAGTGGAAATCTATTATGAAACTCTGTGCCCGGATAGTATGCGTTTTGTACGCAATCAATTGTATGGTGCCATGATCGATGGAAGGCTACTGCAGTTTAGCGAATTGGTATTTATACCCTATGGCAAGGTTGGGGTAAGTTGGCGATAAACTTTTTTCATAGCAAAACAAATAACATCCAAAATTCTCTTTTATAAAGTCTTGGACAAATCCCAGTACCAATGAGACGACCCTCTATTGTCAACACGGTAATCGGGAATGTGAATTGAATGCCCTGCATGCCTGCATTGTCGAACACAATACAATGCGTGAACAATTGGATATGATAACGTGTCTATTGAATGGTTATTCTACAGATGTCGATACGGTGAGTTAGAACATAAATTCATTACTATTATTATTTTTAAATTAAAATTCAAAAAATTATTTATTTAGTGTGCCACCCAACTAAATATCGATGTTACGGCAGCCAAAAATTGCAAAGCCACACGATCAACGGTGGATATTCTAAAGAAATATGGTGATATGACAGATGCCATTGATATGACATTTGTACCATCGATTGGTCTTGGTGGGGTAAGTTGTAGCAGTATTTAAAATGTATGTGTTTTAATAATGTTTGCAATTTTTTCCTCCCTTAGGTATTTGACCCCTGGAAGCAAAGAAGTATTCTACACAATTTCGCCAGAGTATTTTGCCGTAAATATCGAGAAAAATATGATGTTGATCTGCAAGATTGTTATTGATTGTGTTACCTCAGCTCTTGGATGAATTTGGAAAATGGATTTGGGAAATTAGTAGAAAATAATATCTATCTTGAGTTTTAGAATATAGTTTCAATTATTTTTGTGATATTTCTGTGTTCAAATAAATTTGTATCATGTAAAAAATTGGAAACAACTTTTAAAAATCCACGGACTTATATAGTCTTTGGCAACAGGCCAGGTCCAGTACCTAAAACCATATGAACTTTTATATGAAGACTATTGGTACCAGGAGCAACTTAAATACCAAACCGCAGGTGGGAGAATTAGGTTGGGACCTTGAAGATGCCGGAAAATATGCGAGGCTTTTGTATGGGACATAGACTTATATTAGTCTTAAAAATATAATATTTAGTCTTTGAAAAATATTCCTTAAAAAATCCACGCCTTGTTATGGTCCTTGAAAAAATATTCTTTAAAAAATCCATGCCTTATTATGGTCTTCGAAAAAATATTCTTTAAAAAATCCACGCCTTATTATGGTCCTCTAAAAAATATTCTTTAACCAGTAAGGAAAGTAATAAAGTCGGACGGGGCCGACTATATGATACCCTTCACCACTATGGGTATATTAAACAGGACTATTAGCATGAAATTGGATGAAATAAAATATGTGATATTTATCTAAATGTGAATCTACCTAGATCTATCCATAAAGTATGTAAATCGACTTCAAACAAATATAAATAGGTCATCCGTTGGGCTATGTCTGTATTTCTAGAAACCGCAACTATGTAATTCTATGCTCAATTTTATAAGTTGTGCAAAATTTGATGTCAATCTGACTACATGAGGAGTTTGATGCCCAATTTACTTGAAATCGGACGAAAATATATATGGATGCTCTATCCAAATATTAAGCGATTTCAAACAAACATGTCACAGGTTAGGTTACAGTAATTTCAGAACGTTTTGTTCCGATCAGCCTATTGGTTCCTTGGTGCGTCAATTACTTAAAATCAATCTATAATAAAAGGGAGCTATATCTAAATCTGGACCGATTTTCACGAAACAAGGCAGACAGACATCACTCTATGCTCAATTCAGTACGTTATGCCAAATATCGTGCAAATCGAAAGATATATAGCGACTTTGGTGCACCATTTATATGAAATCGGACGAAACTATATATGGGAGCTATGTCTAAATCTGGACCGATTTTCTCGAAACTTGGCAGACATCATTCTAGGCTCAATTCAATACGTTATGCCAAATTTCGTGCAAATCGAAGGATATATAGGGACTTTGGTGCACCATTTACATGAAATCGGACGAAACTACATATGTGAGCTATATCTAAATCTGGACCGATTTTCTCGAAACTTGGCAGACATCACTCTAGTCTTAATTCAATACGTTATGCAAAATTTCGTGCAAATCGAAAGATATATAGGGACTTTGGGGCACCATTTACATGAAATCGGACGAAACTATATATGGGAGCTATATCTAAATCTGAACCGATTTTCATGAAACTCAGCACACATCATTTTAGGCCTAATTCATTACGCTGTGCCAAATTTCGTGCAAATCGAAAGATATATAGGGACTTTGGTGCACCATTTACATAAAATCGGACGAAACTATATATGGGAGCTATATCTAAATCTGAACCGATTTTAATGAAACTCAGCACACATCATTCTAGGCCTAATTCATTACGATGTGCCAAATTTCGTGCAATTCGGAAAATATATAGGGACTTTTTACATTAAATCGGACGAATATATATATGGGAGCTATATCTAAATCTGTACCGATTTTTCCCAATTTCAATAGGGTTCGTCCCTGGGCCAAATAAGTGACATATGCCAAATTTCATCCAAATCGGATCATAAATGCGACCTGTACTTTGTTCACAAAAATACATGGACGGACGGACGGACGGACGGACAGACGGACATGCGTAAATCGATTTAGAAAGTGATTCTATGCATATTCTCAAAAGGAACCATGTGTCTATCTCGTTTCCTTTTGCCTGTTACAAACATATGCACAAAGACATAATACCCTGTACCACAGTGTGGTGAAGGGTATAAAAAATCCACGCCTTATTATGGTCCTCGAAAAAATATTATTTAAAAAATCCACGACTTATTATGGTCCTCGAAAAAATGTTATTTAAAAAATCCAAGCCTTATTATGGTCCTCGAAAAAATGTTCTTTAAAAAATCCACGCCTTATTATGGTCCTCGAAAAAATATTCTTTAAAAAATCCACGCCTTATTATCGTCCTCGAAAAAATATTCTTTAAAAAATCCACGCCTTATTATGGTCCTCGAAAAAATATTCTTTAAAAAATCCACGCCTTATTATGGTCCTCGAAAAAATGTTCTTTAAAAAATCCACGACTTATTATGGTCCTCGAAAAAATGTTCTTTAAAAAATCCAAGCCTTATTATGGTCCTAAATGCGAAAAACATATTTAATTTAAAAAATTGTCGATGATAAGGTAACTGTTTATCGAATCCAAAAGATGCAACCTTAAATTCTTACCGCTTTATTCTCTAATGCTAAATCCAATTGAAAATGCATTTTCAAAAATAAAATTATGTGCAAGAGCTGAGCTGTGTGACGTTTCAATGGAACATAACATTGTTGATGTAATCAAGCGAAGTATTCAAAAGCTATGGACATGGTTTTGAAAATCCCACAAGCTGCAAGTCGGGAACCCCTTCATTAAGATAAGCAGTTACCTTATCATCAACAATTTATTAAGTCAAATATGTATTTCGCATTTAGGACCGGGTATTCAATTTTTGTTCTTAAATATATTTATTTATTCAAATGTCAAGAAATACCCCAGTTTGTATTACTATTTATTTAGTTTTATGTAGTAAAGATATTAAATGAAATCACACCGAATTAGAGAATATTTATGTTAATTACATAGCCATACAACTATATTTGTTAATATTCTTTGATTTAATTTTCAAATATTGGTTTAAAATGACTGCAAATATTATATTTCCTTAGATAAGAATAAAGGTTTCATTTAATTTGGAAAAAGTTTCATACTATTTGTAAAAGGTTTCATTTCAATTGGAAAAGGTTTCATTCTATTTGTAAAAGGTTTCATTTCAATTGGAAAAGGTTTCATTTAATTTGGAAAAGGTTCCATTTAATTTGGAAAAGGTTTCATTTAATTTGTAAAAGGTTTCCTTTATTCTGGAAATGCTATATACAGTGGCTCCATCGCATAATCGGACAAAAGTTTTTCTAATATAAATGTATTCTGAACATTAAAAAAGAGTTAAACATATATTTTTTTTTATATTGGTAGTTTTCATTATATTAAGGTTCTGTTTACTGACGAAAGCAAATTTAATTTGCCCGGATCAGATGGAAAGATGTATGTGTGTCGTAAGCCAAATGCTGAATTTAATCATAGGAATACAAAAGCCACTGTTAAGCACGGAGGAGGTTCTGTTATGGTTTGGGGCTGCATGTCGAGTGCTGGAGTAGGCAACTTGCATTTTATTGATGGTAAAATGGACAAATTTGTCTACCTCAAAATTTTAAAACAAAATGTAAAGCAAAGTGCAGACAAATTGGGTATCGCGAACAACTTTGCCTTTTATCAAGACAACGATCCCAAGCACACATCAGGTGTTCCAAAGCTTTGGTTGATTCATAACTGTCCCAAACTTATACCAACACCTGCACAGAGCCCAGACCTTAACGTAATTGAGCATATTTGGGAAGAATTAACTAGGAGAGTGTATGAGAAAAAATTTAACTCCTTTTTTTTTTTTTTTTTTTTTTAATTTATTAATTTTTCCGGCTTGAGGTCATTGAAAATTAAAAAGATTTTTGGTTTCTTTTTTAATTTATTTTTATTTTTCCAATATTTCGATCATCGTCGATGATCATCATCAGGGATTGACTTTAAAAAACAAAAAACATAATTACATAAATTTATTAACAAAATTACAAAATTGGTTTTTAGTTACATTTTATTTTTCTTATTAACACAGATTAACTTCCACTCTCATTGAATTGACTAGATCAACTAACTCTTTTTTTTTTTTTTTTTTTGGAGCTTTTTTCAATTATGCTCCTGTATATTTGTGCACAATGTTCTGTATCTGTCTTAAAATTGATACGGTTTTTGGCAGGTACATTTATTATGTGTAACATTTCTAACATAAATCTTCTTTTATAGTTTGCCTCGCGTGTTAAAATGTTAACATCTTTAAAGTTAGGTGTGTGTCCAGTTTGAGAACAGTGTACTGCTAGGGCTGTTTTCTGTTCTAGAGGTTTGTTTTTATTTTTATGATCAGACTTGTGGCCGCTTATTCTTGTTTTTAGTTTTGTCTTTGTAGTGCCAACATATACCTTTTGGCATATGTTGGACTTGTCACCATTGCACTTGATTTCATAAACTAAATTAGATTGTTCGTCTGGAGGGGTTTTTGATTTTGTCCGACTAAAGAAGTTGTTATTTGTATTGCTACTTTTTAAAGCAAGTCTGTATAAGTCTGTATATAACGAAAGATTATATGAACAACAAAAAGGTATGCCAATGGGATCCCCAATCTCACCAATAATTGCGGACATAGTTATGGAAAAATTACTTGACGAAACTATAAACAAATTGACTACGAAACCAAGATTATTAACAAAATATGTAGATGACATATTTTGCATAGTTAAGAAAGATCAAATTGACAATACCCTTGCAGTACTAAACGAATATAACAAACAAATAAAATTCACAATGGAATGTGAATCCGAAAATAAGCTCCCATATCTTGACTCAATGATACATAGAGAAGGACGCAAACTAAAACTAGATTGGTACCAAAAGTCGACTGCATCCGGAAGAATCATAAATTTCCATTCCAAACACTCTCGGAATATTAAAATTAACACTGCCACAAATTTTATAAGGAGAGTGCTCAATATCAGTGACAAGCAATTTCACCACAAAAATAAAATAAAAATTAGAAAAATATTAAAAATGAATGACTTCCCGAGCCAAACAATTGAAGATTTAATAAAGCATGTAAAAACGACTAAAACTGCTAAGGACGAACAAAAACCTGACACAATATACAAAAAGTGCACATACGTACCTGGTCTATCCGAACGCTTCGCCAATTCAAACCTATATGACAAAGAACATTACAGACTTGCTTTAAAAAGTAGCAATACAAATAACAACTTCTTTAGTCGGACAAAATCAAAAACCCCTCCAGACGAACAATCTAATTTAGTTTATGAAATCAAGTGCAATGGTGACAAGTCCAACATATGCCAAAAGGTATATGTTGGCACTACAAAGACAAAACTAAAAACAAGAATAAGCGGCCACAAGTCTGATCATAAAAATAAAAACAAACCTCTAGAACAGAAAACAGCCCTAGCAGTACACTGTTCTCAAACTGGACACACACCTAACTTTAAAGATGTTAACATTTTAACACGCGAGGCAAACTATAAAAGAAGATTTATGTTAGAAATGTTACACATAATAAATGTACCTGCCAAAAACCGTATCAATTTTAAGACAGATACAGAACATTGTGCACAAATATACAGGAGCATAATTGAAAAAAGCTCCAAAAAAAAAAAAAAAAAAGAGTTAGTTGATCTAGTCAATTCAATGAGAGTGGAAGTTAATCTGTGTTAATAAGAAAAATAAAATGTAACTAAAAACCAATTTTGTAATTTTGTTAATAAATTTATGTAATTATGTTTTTTGTTTTTTAAAGTCAATCCCTGATGATGATCATCGACGATGATCGAAATATTGGAAAAATAAAAATAAATTAAAAAAGAAACCAAAAATCTTTTTAATTTTCAATGACCTCAAGCCGGAAAAATTAATAAATTAAAAAAAAAAAAAAAAAAATAAAGTCCAAAGGTCAACAATCATTTCTCAACATTTAACTCCTTAGTACAGCTTAAGGAGGGCTTTACTGAAATCGTGGAACTCCATAGAGCAGGAGGTATGCCAGAATTTGGTCAAATCAATACCGAAGCGTTTACAGGCCGTTCTGGACAACAAAGGATATGCAACTAAATATTAATTTCTCGATTTTTTGCATTTTTTAACATTGATACTTTGCTTTGTCCGATTTTGCGTTGAACACAATAAATTGAGTTAATTTTGTTTTTCTGGCGAAATTTACTGTTATCACTAGGAAAGTTGTTGTTTTTTGTATTGTTCAGAAATAAAAGTAAGTAATGTGTAAATAAAAGTGAAAAAAATACACATTTAGACAATTTCTTTGAAATGTATAGCATTATTATATCTGACAACCACTTGTCCGATTATTCGATGGAGCCACTGTATATGGAAGCTTTATCTAAATCTGAACCGATATTCACGAAACTTCACATACGTCCTTCTAGGCCTAATTTAGTACGCTTTGTCAAATTTCGTGCAAGTCGAAAGATATTTAGGGACTTTGTCACACCATTTACCTTAAATCGGACGAAAATATATATGGGATCTATATCTAAATCTGAACCGATTTTCACGAAACTTAACACACATCATTCCAGACTTAGTTCAATATGCTGTGCCAAATTTCGTGCAAATAGAAAGATATATAGGGACTTTGGTGCACCATTTACGGACAAAATTATATAGGGAGCTATGTCTAAATCTGAACCGATTTTTCAATAGGGTTCGTCCTTTGGCCCAATATATAAACTGTGCCAAATTTCATCCAAATCGGATGATAAATGCGACCTGTACTTTGTTTACAATTTAACATCAACAGACGGACGGACGGACATGCATAAATCGACTTAGAAAGTGATTCTATGCATATTGTCAAAAGGAACCATGTGTCTATCTCGTTTCCTTATGCCTGTTACAAACATATGCACAAAGACATAATACCCTGTATCACAGTGTGGTGAAGGGTATCACAAATCCACGCCTTGTTATGGTCCTCGAAAAAATATTCTTTAAAAAATCCACGCCTCTGTTGGTCTTGAAAAAAATATTCTTTAAAAAACCCCACGGGCTTTTTGATGACTATCGAAATTCTTCTCCGACAAATATTGGTGGTGGTTGGTAACCCTTAACAATGTAGTGCCTATAGTCGGTGTTGGCAACACCCTCCGTTTGCCAAAACACACAAATGTCAAACAACAAAAAATTTCCCTTCGTTTACTCATCCATCGCCCATAATTTGCATCTGGCAATGCTACGGGTTTTTCACATCTCTTTTCTCTTGTAAATCGTATTCACGATTGTCACGTCAAATTGTATTGGGTGTAGAATTTTATTAAATTTTCCATAGAAAATTGTGAAAAACCAGAACCAAATCGTTGGTGGAAAGCTAAAAACAATGAGTGAAACCTTAAATTCGTCCGGTGGCTTGCACTTTGAGAAGCCTACAGTGCAATACAATGAAACTGGCTGGGGACCATGCGAAATGCCTGACACCTTCAAAGATGTGCCATATCAGCCATTCAGCAAAAGTGATCGTCTAGGAAAGATTTGTGATTGGACAAATACCTCCAATAATGACAAGAAATATCAAAGTAAGTTCAATCAATCGGCCATAGAAATAAACAAGGGAATCTGCAAACATTTGCAAAGTGGTGCTGCGAATGCTGTTGAAAAAAAGTTGGGTTATGTCGAAACAACAAAATATGTGGCAGCCATTTGTCCATGAGTGTGTGTGTTGGTCTGTGCAAAAACAAACTTTCCCTTATGCAATTTTGTTGTTTTTGACATTTGGGGTAGCACCAAATCAGGGAAATTATTGTTGTTGTTGCTGCGTGACATTCAGTTCAAGAAAATGCAAAGCAAAACAAATTAAAAAACAAAAACTAAAAATCATTTGTTTCAATTTTTTATTCCAGATAAATACACTTCTTCCTTTGGTACTGGCAACCAATATGCCTACTATCATGAGGAAGATGAAACCACCTTCCATTTGGTGGACACTGCTCGTGTACAAAAACCACCACATCAACGTGGACGCTTCAATACGCGTAATCCACGTAATGCCAGGTAAGTTATAAGTTTCCAATTTCAAGTGACAATTTTCTAACCATCTGCCTTTTTTCCAGAAATGCCAGAGGTCGCAATGCTCGTGGTGGTGCTACCCCCAACATGATAACTTTGGGTGGCAAGAACTTCAAGGCACGCGACAACCGTCGTGGTGTTAACCGTAAATTCGGTGGCCGTAATGCCCCACCTAAAATGCGTGAATCCTCGGTTGCTGTACGTGCCGATTGGACATCCATTGAGGAAATGGACTTCCCACGTTTAATGAAATTGTCATTGCCCAACATTAAGGAAGGTGAAGATATTGTCACCTGTGGTACATTGGAATACTACGATAAGGTATACGATCGTATCAATGTAAAGAATGAAAAACCATTGCAAAAGATCGATCGTATTGTTCACACTGTGACAACAACCGACGATCCCATCATTCGTCGTCTGTCAAAGACTATGGGTAATGTCTTTGCCACCGATGCCATTTTGGCCACCATTATGTGTTCGACACGCTCGAACTATTCATGGGATATTGTTGTCGATAAAATTGGTGAGTAAATGAAAATGAATGTCAATTTAAATTAATTATTATTATATGGTGGATTTTGTTACAAAAAGAGTACCAGTAGAGGATCCTATATTTTTAGAAGGGGTTTTTGAGAGTTATCCTTCATTAAGTACAAAACCTCCAGATAGCATTCTATGTAGAGAACATATCGAAATGTATGGGATCGGATCAGAATTCAGTATGAGGCTTCCTTGCCTATCTTGGTGTTTAGAAATTAATCTTTAAGAACTCCAAGCCTATATTGGTGCTTAAAACTATACTAAAAAAATACTCGCCCACACTGATGATTAAAAATCTTCTTTAAAAATCTACGCCTATTAAAAAATATACGGTTTAGAAATATATTCATCCAAAGTTTGTAAATACCAATATAGTTCTGTATTTGTTAAAGAAATGTTGTTCACCTCCAGTATTATGCTTAGAGTTGCTAATGAATATATTTTGAATAGTCAATATAGGCACGAAGGTATCTTGAAATCTAAAGAAAGCTAATTGCGGTTCTTTTATTAACATACTATCATTTAGTGGCCTCAAACAACATCCTACAGGAGACCACTAGGGAATATTCTGTGTACAAATGAACTGCCGAGTATCTTCTACTATTTGACAATATTGTTTAGATCTTCAGCAGAAGTCATCAACATTTTTTATGCGTATGGAAAACCTCCAAAGTTCTTTCTTGTATTGAAAGGTATCGGAAAGTACTTCATATGCTATATTACAAGGCTCTTCAATGTACGGTAAATCTATAAGGGTTTTTTCCATTTATAGAATATACTTAGAGGCTCTTCTTCTTCTTCACAAAAAAAAAAACACTTCATCCAAATTTTTAAGCAAAATTATACCTCGGTACCGCCATAAACAAAACTAATAACAACATTTCATATTATTCTCTTGTTTGTTTCCTAACTATTCTAATCCAATATTTCTTTTCAATTTTAGGTAACAAAATCTTCATGGATAAACGTGACAACACTGAATTCGATTTACTAACGGTTAATGAAACCTCGGTTGAACCACCAACCGATGATGATAGCTCACCAAATTCGCCACGTAATTTGGCCATTGAAGCCACCTTTATCAATCACAATTTCAGTCAGCAGGTATTGAAGACTGGACCCAATGAGCCCAAGTATAAATTCCAAGAACCCAATCCATTTATTACCGAAGACGAAGACATTGAGGTGGCTAGTGTTGGTTATCGTTACAAGAAGTGGGATTTGGGCAGTGATATTGTAAGTCATCATCAACATATCACATTCACAAAAATATATTCTTTATAACAAAATTTCATTTATCTTCCAGGTTTTGGTAGCTCGTTGCGAACATGATGGTGTTTTGGCTTCCGTCAACAATGAACCACAATTCCTTTCGATTAAGGCATTGAATGAATGGGATTCGAAATTGGCCAATGGTGTTGAATGGCGTCAAAAATTGGATACCCAACGTGGTGCTGTCTTGGCCAATGAATTGCGTAATAATGCCTGTAAATTGGCTAAATGGACTGTGCAAGCTGTACTTGCCGGTTCCGATCAACTTAAGCTAGGTTATGTTTCTCGTATCAATCCCCGCGATCCCTCACGTCATGTCATTTTGGGCACACAACAATTCAAACCTCACGAATTTGCTACGCAAATTAATTTGAGCATGGACAATGCCTGGGGTATTCTACGTTGTATTATTGATATTGTTATGAAGCAGAAGGATGGTCGTTATTTGATCATGAAGGATCCCAACAAGCCATTGATCCGTTTGTACGATATTCCCGATAACACCTTCGAGAGTGATGACGATGAAGATAGTGAGGGTGATGATGGTGAAGCTTTCCAACCTGTTTATGCCTACGGCGGTGGCAAAAACTAAATTCGTTTTTTTAAGAATCAACTACAAACAACAACATCAACTATAAGAATATTAAAGGACTATTTATATTAGAAAAAGAAGAAGAAGAACAGCAAGCGGAAAGTTGAGCTAACTGCATAAGCATTTTTATAAATATTTTTTTTTTTAGATTCGTTTTTTTAATATTCGTTACAACAAATTATAACAACATATTTGTACCACATACAAAATAGTTACATTCATATAAAAATGATAAAATCAATATTTCCAAACCTATTTTTACAAACAACAAAAATAACGGGTTGCTTTAAATATAAAAGAAAATTAAAAACAAAATGGTCTTATGTCAACAATAAAGCAACTCAAAAAAATCTCTGTTTCAATTATTTATACATACATAACATCTAAATATTTTATTTGCATTTCCCTTCACAACTATGTTGTAAGGTTATTATATTAGGTTTGGGAAAAAGAAATCCATTATTTTTTCGGAAGCTGGCAGTACTGATAGATTTCTCGTAAATTGTTTCCAGTTTTTTGTTTGGTGCATTCAGTTGTGATGTACAGGGTGTTAAAAATGGTAGTGAAAAAAGAGAAAATTCTGTACATTTACAGTTTTTCTTTGACAAAGGCGAAAATGCAAGCCAAGCGGCTAAAATTGTGAATGGTTCCGATACTGTAACATCCAATTATGTGCAGTTTTGATTTCGTAGATTCCGTTCAGGAATTTTTGATGTTAAAGATGCACTTCGCACAGGTAGGCCGGTCATCGAAAATGTCGATAAAATCGGAGAAATGGTCGGAGTTGACCGGGATGTTAGCTGTCGTAACATCGCCTAGGAGCTAAAAATCGAACATAACTGTTTTAATCCATTTACACAAAAAATTATCAGCCTTATTCAGGATATTCGCTGGGAGATATCTCGCATATAAGATTTTTTTCGCTTTCACATTCTCGCCTTATTCTGAATGAATAGGGAGACGCAAAAAATGCGAGATGCGGATTCGAGTTTTCGAAAATGGTGGTTGAAAAATAGATTTGTGTTGCCATATTGTAATTTAAGTTGTAATGTGTGTGGCCATATTGTAATTTAAGTTGCAATGTGTGTTGCCCCATTGTAATTTAATTGTGTAATATTTTTCAATATTTTATTTTCATGGTTTTTTTATTAAAAATGTTTACTTTTTATTGTTATTTAAAGTATATAACAATAAAAATGTGAAATATCAATAATCCGCTGTATAAATGCTTTGTAATTAAAAGAAAATAAATTAAAGTTTAAAAATATGGCAACCTACAATATGGCATGTGAAACAGCGGTTCATTGTTTTGATGCAATTTGATGCAACAACTACAACTGAGAATACAACAACGAATAATGGAAAGAAATCTGCGATTGAATTAATTAATTCAGTTTATTATTTCACTACATAATTGTGTGCCTTTTTATTTAATTTCGATATTTATTTCCCCAGATTCTTAAAATGGCCTGTTATTTTATGATTTGCTCCTACTCCTTTATTTCTTCCATCAAATCATGCACACGATAATTAAAAAAAAAAAATATTTGTTTGTTCTTGCATAATTTTTATTTAAGTTTAGGCAAATTTGGGTTTTCCATAATATTTAAAATGTTTTTCTTGAGAGACAGATCCTCACCCAAAATGTCTGTATTTCACCTCCAAAAATCAAACTCGACTTAAATATTCCTAATTACCTTCATACATTTCTTGGCAATACTTGCTTCAGCATGCATCGTTATCAGTAGGATTTCCAATGGCATTTTATTGGTTGTTTTCCAGTTATAAATTTGCTTACTATCATTTATAATATTCTAAATCGTCATAGAATAAGTATTGTGTAAATATTTTTCATAAAAATAGTTATTACTTATGTTTTTGTAGTCAACTCACTTTAAATTTATTACCGAAAATTTTCGCACAAAATTTCATCTCATTCTCCTACTCCATGTAATTCAGAATACCTAATTTTTCCCCAAAGCGGATTTTTTCGCTTTCGAACTTCATTCAGAATAAGGAGAAAGCGAGAATGCGAAAAAATTCACTGGAAAATGTTGTTCAGAATAAGGCGAAGGGAAAGAGCGAGTAAATTCACATGGAATTGACATCCAGAATAATGCTGTATAATAATAATGGATTTCTTTTTCCCCAACCTAATATTTTTGTGTGGCCCCAAGAGTTCGTAACCCCGTAAAATATTCGTCATAAATGCACGTTTTAGTACACCGATCGCCAAGGGTGCAAATACCGCGAAATATTGCACAAGCTTGGAATATAGATCCGCGATAAAATATCTCTGTAGAATATGTTCAATTTCGATCAATGTTCTGTGATCGACCCCATTCAAAAAGTCCCTCCCCACTATTGATATTTTTAAGGTTTTAAACACAACCACAAATTACTGCAGTTTTGCATTCAGGGTCCCCAGAGGAGATCGCATCTCTGCATAACGAAAATATGCATATGTCCATATTCTGATATAGATATAAAGGTCTCGCTCCATTTCGTTATTTTGAACGTGGCTGTAATTTGAAATTTCAGGTTCATGGTGGTTGAAAACTGTCTGGAGAATATTTTAATATAGGTGTATGTTCTCGGTATAGCTCCTATACAGAGGGACCTCCCATTTCTGGTTTTTGAAGTGTTAAACCACATTTTCTCACTGAAGAGACTGTCATTTGGAGTTCAGGGATACTAGATAGAGAAAAACATATCTGCAGAATATGTTCGATATACATAGAACCATAATTTCTATTTGCACCATCTATCTTTACCAAGCATGAAGCTGGGCCCATTATTGTACTATTTCTGGTACCTTTTTCACAAATGGTCAATATTTTCAACATTTTTAAATCCAATATCAGGCCAATGGATTGTCCGATTTGTCCAAAGTGAGACCCTTTGGCCCTCCCCTCTTGTACCTTCCCACAAGTATTTTATAAACTTGTAAATTTAATTTTAGGAGAATTGAATAACCGATATGATAAACATAAAATCCGAAACCTCTTTGATAAAAATATACCTAATATAAAGCGATTAAAAATCCTGTGTGGGCCACACTGACTGTCACTTTTTGACTTATTTTACCTCAGCCCTACACACAAACAGTGATCCCCATATTAAATTTCAACATTCTAGTAATATTCGTTTAAAAATGTCATTGCGTACATATTTACATATTTATTTATTTACATTTCGTACATATTTACTACAAATTTTCCGTACCCAGTCTTATTGCACTCCCACGCGTCAATTATGTCCAACATATTAGCCTCAGCAGATTCACAATTTTAAGAACCTATGGTACATCCACTTTTTCCTCTATCAGGTACCTCAGATGCAATTTAAGAGTTCTAGGCTTATCAAGTACCTCAGCCATCCTTATCGCATACCTACTGATCTTTACTAACCCACATACAAAATTGTGATATTCAACCGCATCGCCTGTACTTTATATATCCTCATTGTACAAATTTCTACGGAATGAAATTCGCTAAACCGACCCACACATACAAAAACTGGCGTTAAATGTAGTTCTTAGAAACACCATAAGGTCCCCTATTTTGATTAACAAACAATGTTCTTTTAAAAATGCATTTAATTTTGTCAAGGCTATGCAGTTTCAATGGCTTTGCTTACTGCGATCGATCAGAGACACAAACCAAAAGTTAAATTTTTCACATAGTTTTACAATTTATTGAACTTACCACTACAATTCACCGAAAAAATAAAAGCTATATAAATAAACACTACCGAACCGATAAACAGCAAAAGCTGTTAAACGAAACGCACATTTATATTAAATGTTAATACAACGAACGACGGCATAGACTAAATAACCGCGCAATTTCTTAGTGACTGACATCTGGTAGGAGAAGACCGAAACACCATTTCGTTGTCTATTCTTCTTTAGTCTATGACGACGGCATTGTGATGCTCTTTAAATTAACATAAAGCTTTTTTATCACTTAACATAATTTTATACCAACAGAGAGGAGGAGGAAATCAATAGAACGAAACGAATTAACAGCGAGCGGATAAGGAAATAAACTTCTGCAATATCTGTAGAGAATTAAAGCACTGTATTGTTGTATATGACAATTCTCTTTCTCTCGCACTGAACTGAACGTGCACATAATAAATACATGAATGTTTTTGCAAATGCTAGTTCTTGGCGCCCTTTTTGGCAAAGCCTCTAACACAAATACACACATAGGAGATGAATCAATGAATAAATTGCAAAACATAAAAATTACATTTGTGGGTATATTCATACATATTTTCACACACTTTTCAAACAAATGAATTAATAAATATTGCATTGTAAACACTTTTCTGATATTTTTATTGATTTTTTCTTTATAAACACACAATTTTCTATTTGAGCACCACTAAAACACAAATGACAATGAACTAAATCAATGTCTCTAAATTTTGTTTGATTGAGAGAAGGATTTTTTTCTGTGCTTTTAAAACAAAAACAGTAAAGAGAAGAATTGAATCTCCTTTACAGTGGAGTATTTTCAGAATTCTTGTGAGAGGAGATCCAACTAAGAGATCCGCTTGGTGTTGCTGTTGCAACTATTAATGAATGGGCTAATAGACAGGGTTACAGTTTTATTTACAAATTTACTTTTCTGTGCGACTTTTTTTTCAAGGTTATAGTTAAAGGCGTTATAAATTCTTGGGGCTGCACAAAGCTATAATACCCCGACAACATAGTTGTGTAGGGTATAGAAAGGCTATGTAATTTGTAAATTTTGTGAATTAGAGTTTTAACTTAATCATATTTAAATTAAATACCATGTAGGATCGTCGCCACTTTTAGGATTTATGTATCTCCAAAGTGTGGTAAAAGATATAAAAACAAAGCTGTTTTATTGCGATCTGATACCTTGAATTAAATCCAATAGCAAATTTTGAAATAATCTCAATTTGTTATTGATTCATTTTAAACCCGACGTAAAATAGAATAATTTGTAAATGCCTATTTTTAGGTTCTTA